AACAGGGGTGTAATGATTCAAGTTTTATGTACTTGAGTATCTGTTTAATGCTCCATTATTGAAATATATTTTCACACATTCATACCAAAATGGATAGTAAAAAATAATGTTCAGCATTAAATGAATAGTTGGGCTGGATTTTGCCCTCCTTCGTGTGTTGGGTGGTTCCTAGCTTTCAGCAGTCCAAGTTGCTACTTGAGGAGTGAGGGACAACTCAATGAGAGTAAGGATGGCAGAAATGTTGATTTTTTTTTTTTTTTTTTTTTTACTAGAAACAGTTCCTGAATGGTTTTGCATGAAGGCTTCGGTTGTGGATACTCTGGGTATTAAAATTGACACGTTTTCTTTGCTTCCCTTTCCTGCTTGGTTCATGAGAAACAATGGCTAAAATGCCAGCCATCCTTTGGAACCGCCTTCTCCTTTGTCACTTAGTTTGTTTCCTGGTCCCACCCTGTTGAGTATTGGACTTCCTGGCTTTGAGATAGATCTGGCTGCCTCAGCTGCAGTCTGTTCTGTGAGCTAACAACTGCTGTCTGCCAAACCCTAAGAGTTTTGTACTGACTCGAACAGTCTTGTAACTAGCAGCCTGACCCAGGCCTGTAGCCGGCTGCTGAACCATTTCCCTTTCCTGGGAAAGGTGCGGTGCTACCTTCTGACAACAAACTGCCAGGCTGAAGGGAAAACGCTCATCCGTTCTGGTAATTCCATTCTAACAGCACTTTAATCTGACATCTCTGCCCTAGACAGGCGAATGTAACTCTCTGCAAAATGTCACTAGGTGCTGTAGGGTATATTATGATGTTATGTTACGTTCTCTCTCTGCTGAGGTAGCACCTCCTGAGGTACATCTAACTTCAACTAATCCTAGCTGCAGGAAATGCATCTTCCAGTCCCAGAGTGGGCTATGGCCATGTCTGTGTCTGTGCATTCTTCTGGGTAGCGTCCTTTGGTGTCAGTGGAAGCTGGGCACTCCTCTGAGAGCAGAATTTGGCCCTTACTGTCAGGCAGATTTTAGAAATATTAAATATTCTGGACAATATTTATGCTAGTGTTTTAATCTCTTGAAAACTCGCAAATTATATTTAATACACCTCAGATGAGCTAGTCAAATACTTTTTCTACCACTCTCTGTATCTGAGAAGTTATTTTCAGCAATAAACCACAGTTAAATGCAAATTAACTACATTTGGTCGTTGATTCCAGTGGAAAAATTGCTTTTTTGCCCCTGCTACCAGAACATTAAATTGCTATCTTCAGCGGGCTTGACAATCCTATTTGATTTAATAACTCTATTCTTTATTGCATCTTCTCCTGAAGTTTATAGAAAAAGTGTGGGAATTATTCCTGTACTCTGTTTTTCCTCTTTGAAAGGAAATACCTGTTTATATTGTTCTCTAGATTTCCACAGTCCCCTTGTGTCCCCACTCTGCACTGTCAGATCACCTCAGTGGGACTGTAGCGGTCTGGCTTAGGTGAGGGGGGTATTGATGGCGTGGCTTGTACGGGGGCACCCAGGAAGTTGTGAAGCGTTATAACTCCCTTGGAGGAATGCTCCTTCCCTCTGCAGATGCCCCAAGATCTGTGAGGAAACTCCGCTGATCTTCAGATTTCAGTAGGGCTGGCAGCTCATGCCTCTTGCTTGTTCTGCAGGCCTTCACAGTCCTATATCATCAAAGTTGGGATGCATTAAAACGTACATATATTTAAATCAACGGAATGAGCAAGGCATGTGCCGAACTTTGTTTGAACTGTCTGACTTTGTTGCAACATTTGCTTCCATCCTTTCTTCATCTGTTTAATCCAAGTTAGAGTGTACACTTTTCAGGATAGGAGTCTTGTTTTCTGTCTAAACAGTGTCATGCACACCAATGAAGCTATAGAAATAATCAATAGCAGTAAGGAAATCGGACTTCTCACCCTGGAGAGGTTGATGATTCAAACTGAGTGGCAACTTGCTGTGTTTTCTAAGTACCTTCAGATCTTCCATGGAGGGTTCTTCAGGAGTATGTGATTCTGTCCATAATTTCTATGTTGTGCCCACAGGAAAGAAAGAGAAGAATCTTCCTTTCTGGTGCTGTTGTCTACTGTTTTCTATCCATTATTTGACTGGAATGGACTTGCTGACAGATGTCCCTTTACACTGATGGGGATTCTGGAGAGGACACCCACTTTTAGAGAGAGGGTGCCTGTTATACTAACCATCATTGCAGTCTCCGAAGATAATGACTTACACTTACGTTTTTCTTTTCTGTACAAGTGGTGTATATACTGTCAGCAAATTAAGATTCATACTGACCTCAAATAATCACTCTTAAATGTTATGATCTCTTCCCCATACCCCAAATTTACCATTAGAAAGTAATTATTCAGCTTTGAAGATGAAGTTCTGGAAGGGCATGAGCTAGGGTTACCAACTTTCTAATCTCACAAAACCGAACACCCTTGCCCCACTCCTGCCCCGCCCCTTATCTGAGGCCCCGCCCCCTAATTCCATCCCTCTCACTCCGTCACTCACTCTCTCCCAACCTCACACATTTTCATGGGTCTGGGGCAAGGGGTTGGAGTGCGGGGGGGTAAGGGCTCCGACTGGGGGTGCAGGCTCTGGGGTGGGGCTAGAAATGAGGGGTTTAGGGGGCTCTAGGCTGGGACAGGGGGTTGGGATGCGACGGGGGTGAGGGTTCTGGCTGGGATGTGGGCTCTGGGGTGGGGTCAGGGATGAGGGATTTGGGGTGCAGGAGAGGGCTCCGGGCTGGGGCCAAGGGGTTCGGAGTGCAGGAGGGGGCTCAGGGCTGGAGCAGGGGGTTGGGGTGTGGGAGAGGGTGTGGGGTGCGGCTCTGGGAGGGAGTTTGGGTGCGGGAGGGGGCTCAGGGCTGGGGCAGGGGTTTGGGCTCTGGGAGGGAGTTAGGGTGCAGGAGGGGGTTCCAACCTGGGGCAGGAGGTTGGGGTGCCAGAGGGGGTTTGGGGTGCAAGCTCTGGCCAGGCGACGCTTACATCAGGTGGTTCCCGGAAGCGGCCGGCATATCCTGCTCCTAGGCAGAGGGGCCAGGGGTCTCTGCGTGCTGCCCACGCCCACATGTGCCGCCTGCGCCCACAGGTGCCGTCCCTTCAGCTCCCATTGGCCATGGTTCCCGGCCAATGGGAGCTGTGGAGCTGGTGCTCAGGGCAGGGGGAGTGCATGGAGCCCCCGTGGCTGCCCCTGCACCTAGGAGCGGGAGAGACATGTTGGTTGCTTCCAGGAGCTGCGTGGACCTAGGGCAGGCAGAGAACTTGCCTTAGCCCAGCTGGGCTACAGACCAGTCTTTTAGCAGCCCAGTCAGTGGTGCTGACCGGAGCCGCCTGGTGTTATTAGATGTTTGCCTGCATGTGTGTGTTCTCTGTGTGCCGTTCCAGCTCTGTGCAGATAGTTGGCACAGCAAACCTCAATCGAACTGCCCAATGACCACAGGATCCGTTAAGGTGCGAAGGCGCCCAGCCAGATTTATTGTCGACGAAGCACGGTAATAGCACCTGGCAAACTCTACCAGGATACTAAGACATGAATGGCGGGACTTTCCATTCCCCCCTCGGCTGACTCTCCCTCTGAGACTCCATTTTATACATCAGTACAAACAAGTTATGTATTGCCCCTCTGAGATAGTTAGTTGACACCCTCTGACGTAGCCAGTTACCACCCATCACCTTGTATATCTCTATCCATCACACTGTCATCCTGACCTTATCTTTAGGAAGGGTCAGCGTGTTCCTATTATCTTTGGGGAGTGTGCTGATATCGGGATGTTCTGGTACCTTCTGCAATGTGTTTGCGTGAGTGCTCTGTGCTAGCACCTCTTAGGAATGTGCATTTTTGCAATATCAGCCCTGTTCTTGCCAGATTCAGAGAGCAGGGCCTGCCTCTGGCTCACAGCCTGACTTTGCCTTATATCAGCAAAGCTTTGACCACTACTTTATCTCAGGCCTCATACCAGCCTCTGATATAAGGGCTTTTGTTTCAGGCCCCCTTTCTACTACACCAGGGGCCCTTTTCGACCAGGTGGTCCGGTCAAAAACCAGATGCCTGGCAACCTTAGCATGAGCCCCAAGAGTAGGTTAGCAATAAACAATAAAGGTACCCTTTCTTCTCCAGGGATAGTTACAGTAAACAATTTCCCTCTGCACAGCAAATTTTACTGGTCCCTTTAGTTACATAATAAATATTTAAACACTTTTCAATTCTTATGTCATTCCATTGAGGAATTTTTAAAGAAGCAAAGTCAAATGACTATTTGCCCACAAATGTATGTTCCTACACTACTGTAAGAGTGTGGCTTGAACTGACACAAGCCAGATGTGATACTGAAAACCTGACCATAGTTTACCCCATTGTGCCTCTGGATTGCAGCTGTCTCAGTTCTCAGCTGGGCACCTCATAAAAAGTGAGTGTCCCTGGATACCCTGTGGAGTACAAAGCTTTTGCACATTAACTTAAAGGTGGAGTTTTAACAGCAAACTGAAGTTTTTGTTTTGTGCCTGAAGAAGGCCTTTATATTTGTGCATGAATAAAATGACAGTAGGTTAAGTTATTCCTTTGCTAAGTAAATCAGGGTCACTTATGTTTGTAACTTCATTCTGTCCCTCATTTGTGCATTTCTTACAGCTTGTTTTTAATTTATAATAAAATATAAATGTACTCCTGGTGGTCTAGAGCGATAAGGAATTCTTTGGCTGGGTGGAGAAGGCTGGAGTTGCTCTTCTGAGACTCCTTTTGAAAGGGGAGGTGCACTGAACAGGCTCTTTTGGTCCCTCTTTAGGTGTTTGATGAGATCCCATCAACTGTTTGTGTATCCCCATGACCTGTCCTGCCTTGCTGCAGTCATTTGAGGTGCTTCTGGAAATGGAGTGTTTGTGTGCATTTACCTGCATGAAGTGTGCTCCATTACACCTCTCCCCAAACCTTATCCTGCTGATTTATTTCAGGGTTTCTTCTTTTGGAAGCTAACTTTGTTTCCTTTTCATTATTTAAGGGTCAAGATGATGGAGATCCATCAAAACCACCTTGGTTCAAAGAAGGGTAAGTGGGGTTTTGGACTTTTTAATTTTCCATTTTAATTGTTTGTGTTTTCTCTCATTTCACTTAAGCAAAAGTATAAGCAACATGCACTCTGCAAATTGCTTTTAATGATTCTCTTCAAATGGTAACACTTTACGTCATAAAGGCGACCATACTGCCCCCAAGAGCAGAGTGCTGATACGTTTCACAGCCTCCATTTAAATTGAGAGGAAAGTGGCATAGCCGTAGTGTGTATCGTGCAGCTATTCGTGTTGAGACTTGGGCTCAAGAATGACGTTGGCACGGCTACACCTTGTTTGTAAAGTGCTATATGCAAACGTGTATGGTGATAATAAGTATTCATAGTCCTTTCTATCCAAATTGCAGTGGTAAAGTGCTTAAAAACTTAGAGGAGGCTTTGTATGCTATCTTCTTCTCTGAGTCAGCCAGGTAGCTGGCCACATTGGAAAGGAAAAACAGCATCTCGGAATAAATGTTGAGTTCTACTGATGTTCAGATGTCTTGTCCTCACTCCTGAGAAAATGGAACTAAAGAATGGTGTGAAACTATCCTATGAGTGCAGCAATGATGGCAAGTAGAGTAAGCAGATAAAACTGGAGGGACTTGGCAAAACTTTGCAAAATCTCTTTAGTTCAATAATGGTCACAACTATTAATCTATAACTCGTCAGCGTGAGGTGAGTTGCAGTTCTTCACTGTGTAGTATGCTAGCCACAGCAACTGGAGCTGGCAAATTCTGCTTACACGTTAAGTCAGCGTGATACTTTGCAAATTGGGTGTCACCATTGTAGTTTTTTCATAATGAATTCGAGTTTCTTTAGGACAAAGACGTGGACACATTACATGCTGCTTGATTTTTTGTGTGTGTTCTATTTGGATAGAAACATATGGCTTTGTTTTTTCGTTCTCTCTCGTTGCTTGTGTACAGTACACAGTAGCATTGATGTGCAGAGGCAGTTTTGTCCTGAAATCTCAGCACAATATTGGTTCTCCCTGTGTGTAAACTAGTTTTCATACCATTGAAATAGGCTTTCTTAACCAAACGTGAAGTTAAACGGAATAAGGCTCCATTTTACAGCTCTTTACGTTTCAGTAAGTGTTTTGCAATGTTGGCTCTGTCACAGAGAGCTTCTGGCCACACCTGCAGAAGCCTAGTGCTGCCTAGCAACCTTCTGCTTTCCAAAGGAGCCCAAGTTTCTGCTGAAGAGGTTGGTGGAGAACTGGCAATTAGCGGTAGCAGAAGATAGTGATTTATTCTAACTATAAACAACACCTTCTACTCCCTTTTTAACAAGGAGTTTGTATAATAAATATACCAGTTCACACACTTAAGATGATTTGCTGGCCTGAAGAGTAGAAATTATACTTTTTGAAATAATTACTGATTTAAAATGATTTTTGTATTAAACAAGACTTGTACTATTCTACAAAATTTAAATTTGCGTCAGACAAATAATTCATTTAACATTTCTTCATTACCCCCAGAAGTGTGATGTTTAGCCAAACTGCAATTTATATACTGTATTCTGCCACACAAAGAACTTCATTAAAAGATAACTCAGGTTGAAAGGGTGTTAATGCCTAATACAGCTAGCACCAAACCAAATGCATTGGTTCTGGGAATGGGCAACGGGATGGATCACTTGATGATTACCCATTCTGTTCATTCCTTCTGAAGCGCTTGGCATTGGCCACTGTCGGTAGACAGGATACTGGGCTAGATGGACCTTTGGTCTGACCCAGTATGGCCGTTCTTATGTTCTTATACGATGGGAGGTCTAATAAGAACATATTTAAAAATTCAGTCTTGGTTTCTAGGGTTTTGAGTTCTTGAACAGGAAAGCAATTCTCCCTACAGAATCTGGATGGGAAGGTAATGAATATGGTGACTGTGGTGGTGAGCCATCATGCCCCTAAAATCATGGTGAAATGTGAGGAAATAATAAGGTTAAACCTTAGGACTTTGTGGTGCTCCCCTGTCACCACTTCCATCAGTGCAGTCTCCTGTGTAACAAGCCCGATGTCAGTGGAGACCCATCTATTGTTTCTACCAAGTCCGGTGTAACCTTGGGTTGTAGTGGGAGACGGAGGATCATGGCTGTGGAAAAATCCATAAAATTGTCCCCTGCTCCCGAATCCGTCAAGGCCTCATTGTATGGGAAAGGCCTGCTCAACCTGCAGGATCTGCAATTTCAGGGAAATTTGTAGAAGTGGAGGTGGATGAGGAACTCCTAGTTTAGCATAATCTCCGGGTTTCTCCCTGGTGGTACCCAGGCTTGGGTTCCTGACTGGGGTGTGAAGTTAGTCTCTTCCCTGTCATCAGGTTAGCACGTTTTTTGACAGGACACTTGGCTACTGTATGCCCTGCTCCTCCCCAATAGAGGCAGAGGTTCTCCTGTCTTCTGCGCTCTTGTTCACCCAACGATAGGCGGGGCCATCCCATGTCAGTTGGCAAGGACTTGACCAAGGCCAAGCTCACTTGGTCCTGAGGGCTGAGCCTTAGGTAAGTGCGGGAGGTTGGAGGGCTCCTCCTACGTTCCAGTTGCTATTCGTGCAGTCTGATGTCTATCCAGATGCACAGGCCCATGAAAGCCTCTAACCTGGTGGAGAAGGGGGTCCGCCTGTGCCAGCTTGTCTTTTAGTTCTTCACAAAGGCCAAGCTGAAATGGATGGAGGATAGCGGCATCGTTCCAGATGGCATCTACAGCCAAACATCTGTATTGGGCAACATAGGAAGGGGCTGACACCAGGTTTTTTTGTTTTTTTTTGAACTTTCGTAAGGCAGTCTCTGCCGTGTGGGCTTTGTGAGGGTCATTGAAAATACTGGCAAACGCTTGTAAGAATGACTCCCCGTTGGTCAGTAGTGAGTGATTCTGCTCTAAAAAAGAAGAGGCCCAGGCCAGGGCCAGGCCTCACTCTATATTAGCCCCCACTTTAACTTGATCTGTTGACACATTTTTGGACTGGAGCATAAACAGGAGTCTGCATTGGGTAATGAACCTGCAAAACTTACTGCAGGTCCCATCATGCCTCTCCAACAGAGGCAGTCTGGGGCCAGTTATCCGAGCCGGTGTTGTAAGAGAAGCCGAGTGGGTACCTACAGCTGCTCCGAGTACTGTAGCTTGCTGCTGCTAGGAATGATTTCTCATCTGCAGATGTCATACTTGGTCCTGCAATTTCTAGTTTTCTGCCTGGAGGGCAGTGATCTGCTGCTGCCGATTCACAGGCCCCTGGGGTGATGATGGGGCAGGAGCCCTGGTGGTGTCCATACTCACACCAGGGGTTCAACAGCGAGTCCTGGAGGAGACTGAGGTTGATCTGAGCAAGCTGTCACGGCCCATAAGATGCACAGTCTGATCCAGTGGTTGGAGCCTTGAGTAGTGTCGGTGTCGTGGTCACACCAAGAAGCAAAGTCTGAGTCAGAGGTCATACCAAGGGTCAAAGCTGGAGTCAGCAACTGGGATCAGGGCAAAGAAGCAGGAACAAGGTGTAGGCCACTGGAACAGGGACAAGGTGTGGTAGCGGGAACAAGGCAAGGTAGCAGGAGGCAGGGATTTGGTCTCCGAGGTCTGGGCAGCAAGTGGCCTAGTGACTATTTGCTCAAACAAGGGATAGTACTGGAAGAGGAAGCTTTATACCCAGTGGTGTCCAGTTATCAGTTTGCTGCTAGTCATCTGACCCTGCTGAGTCAGTGAGCTTAGCCTCTGGTGGCGGGGTATTGGCAGCAGTTCACTTGTCAGCCCTTGTAGCTCTGGGCCTGGGATTGAGACATGTGCTTGCTGTCTGGCACGACCATAGTTCACTTAAACGACCAAACAAGCTGTCAAAGTTAAGATTGTCATAGAAATTTCTGTCTGTTCCAGCTGAGGAATAAGGAGAGACGGACACAGCTAATCAAGCAAGGAGCCCCAGGAGGGGCGATCCGTTTATTTCAATTGCAATTGGGTTCGAGCTCATAAGTCAGAGTGATCAATATTTGCAGGAGGCCATGTTTGGTTTCTACAGGATGGTTTGTGACAGTATCATACTGTGCCATTTCTGTGACCTTATTAACACTTTTCCCCCCTGCACTTCCAGGCCTGCAGGTGGTCTCTATGGCATTGACAGCATGCCTGATCTACGTAAAAAGAAACCAATTCCACTTGTCAGTGATTTGGTAAGATTTTTCTTTCTAGAAATATAATTGCTGTGATCACTTAGTGTCTTGGGGCGCAATACCGTTTATTACTCCAGTCAATTTATCTCCAAACTATAGTAGAAAATGTTAATGTCTATACTGATGTTTCAGAAAAATACTAGGTGCTAAGAATGTTAGAGAGAAATAAATCTGCCTACCGTATCTTAGTGTCTGTACGCAGGAATTGTCATGCAACTTGAATGTTAAAAATTCTTCCTATCACTGAAACCTGTTTACACACTGTTAAATGTTCCTATAGAAACCATACAAACAGTGAGGTCAGCTTGCTTTCTTATACTGATGGCATGTCAGATGAGTGTAACTTTTATGGATAGTGTTGAATATTGTATCAGGTACAGCTAATACATTAACACTTGGGAGAAGTTGCGAAATCTCTAACCTCCATACATTGATATCTAAATGTATTCTAGGTAAAGATAGAGAATTTGGTTTGTACATCTGTCATCTGACACATGCAGAGCCAGGAGGGTATGTTTTACTAACTGCTTGTATCCCTGGAAACTTAGTAATAATGGAATTAACCTATTATACTTCTTTTGTATGCTTTCACTCTCTCTCTACAGGCTATGGTAAGTGGAGCTAAAAACTGTCCACCATGTCTTTACCCGAAGTAAAGATTTTTTTACTTTACTTCCCCTCCACTGTTTTTGCTTTTTTATTTTGAATTCTGCCGTACCACAATGCATGCATATGCTGCACTCTGGCCCACTACATCACTGTCTGAATGAACCTTTTCAGTCTTGTCTCAAGCGTCATAAATCAGAGTAAGAGATGGCTCCTGAGAGGGTTAGCTAGCTTTATAAGAATCAGCAACATCTTCTCTCATTTCCTTATCTGCCTTCCTACAGCTGGAGTAGCTTGCTGAAGGACCTAATCTGCTTTCTAGCCTTTTAGATATTGGCTAGATGCCAGTGGCAGGTGCTGAAAAAACAGCAACCTAAGAAATTTAAGATTGCAGTCCCTCCATCATACGTAATGTGAAGGTAGCTACTTTGAGAAGCAGTGATGTTCATTATATTTGGGGATGGCCACTGAATGTGACACACAGACACATTCAAACACATGCTGCCCTTCCAACCCCATAAAATCCTCCCAAGATTTTAGTTTACCCTCCTCATTCTGTCCCAATCCAGCCATCCCTGTTTGGAGCTCTTTCTAGGTGACAAGGCTGATAATTTGATCTCCTTTGTCTATGTGTGAACTTGAATGTAGGAGGTGGAGCATGAGTTTAGAACACTGTATAAACCTTGTCTGTTTTAAGGATGCAGGAGAGAATCCAGTTTTATCTACACTTCATACAGGGGGAAATAGTAAAATTCACTCCAGAACAAAGTGGATTGGGGCAGAAGGAAACATACATAGTTAGCGAGATTTATGTTTTTAAAGTACACACCCTGACTCTTTCTGGGGCAAGGAGATTACCATTTGGAAAATGTAGCAGAGGGTGTTGACTTGTGTAGACTTTCTGTTCAGTACCTTTGCTGGTGACAGCATCTTCCCTTTTGTGCATGTACAAGTATGTGACCTCCAGTGAATTTATGTACACTTTGTAATGAATAACAGACACTTTCCCTTCTCAGTCACTGGTTCAATCCAGGAAGGCTGGAATTACCTCAGCAATGGCCACTAGAACTTCTCTTAAGGATGAGGAGCTGGTAAGTAGAGTTTATTTGCTCCCCGGTGTCTTTCCTAAACAAATTAAATGGGGGGGGGGCTGGTTCTGTGAATATTCATATTCTTCTTGGAGAATCAAGTGAGCATTGCAGGACTCCGACTAGGAGTATAGGTGTAAAGCAACCCGTATTACTTTTTTTTTTTTTTTTAATTTTTGGCAAATATGATGTCCCAGATAGAACCTTAGAATAGTGCGTAAGGGTCTGATTTATGAACTAAGATATGCTGAGTAGAACTTGGTTATGTAGTGTGCTATTACACACAGACCTGACTTCTTTGCTCTCTGAATGCCATTGGTTATGGTTTATTTAAAGTAACTGTAAAAACTGATTTTGAAATGGTGTTTTCTGCACATCATTTCTACAAGGTCCTAGGGTTAGCATGCTTGGCTACCTCAGTCATGGCTCCATCAGGCATGACGTGACAAGCGTTGATGATTTAATCTTCGCCCTTTCTCTTTTTCATTCAAGAAAATGATATATTCCCTAAAGAAAACAGTCGCATCATCCCAGGATAACTCTCTTTCCAAACAGTGCATGTTAACAGCATCCCAATCAAAGACTTTGCTTCGTGTGTGTTCTTGTATTGCAGAAATCTCATGTATATAAGAAGACCCTGCAAGCCTTAATTTACCCTATCTCCTGCACAACCCCTCACAATTTTGAGGTGTGGACAGCTACAACCCCTACATATTGCTACGAGTGTGAAGGGCTCCTATGGGGCATTGCAAGGCAGGGTATGCGCTGCACTGAATGTGGGGTCAAATGTCATGAGAAGTGCCAAGACCTGCTCAATGCTGATTGCTTACAGAGTGAGTGGCTTTTCCTTGTAACATTTTGATAGTGGGGTGGGTGGGAATGGGGACGGGAGGGGACTGGAGAAGAGCCATTTCCAAACAAGTTGTCCATAGTCTTTTCTAAACTGTGCACATATACAGAATCTCTACATTAACGGTTTGCTTAGATCCATGCTAGTCTAACGACTGTTGAAGTCTCTCCGCTTCTATTAAAATTACTGCACATTTTCCGAAATGAATGAGATCTTGAAACTGTGCTCTACACTGCTGTTGTACTGCACCGCCACCACCCTCTTGCAGACACAAGCTGTTTCCAAGGAGAGAGAGAGATGGACTTGTGTTTTAAGGCACTGGTCTGAAGTACTATAAAGGAAGCTTCAATTCCTGGTTGTGCCACAGCCTTCTTGATTGACCTTGAGCAAGTCCTTTAATCTCTGTGCCTCAGTTCCCCATCTGCAAATTTGGGATGGTAATATTCATGTGCCTTACAGGTTGGAGAGTGTTTGTTAGGATGAATCCATTAATGTGGAGAGGCAGCTTGATCTAGTGGGTAGGGCACTGGACTTGATGTTCCGAGCTTGGCCACTCCTGCTGTGTGACTTTGAGCAAGTCACTTCTCCTCTTTGTGCCTGTTTCCATTCCCATCCTTTGTTTATGTAGAGTGCCAGCTGTTCAGGGCAGCTGCTGTCTGTGTGCGCACAGCACAATGGAGCCTCTAGTCACTACCTTCATACAAACAGCATGTTTGAGATGCTGGTATCCTATAGCTAATGAGGGCCATGTAAGAATCTAGATAGACACATAAGGAGTATCCCATCTCACTAGGGATGAGTCAGTTTATTTATTTTTAGTCTTGTGTCTGATGAAGTGGGCATTCACCCACGAAAGCTTATGCTCCAATACTTCTGTTAGTCTTAAAGGTGCCACAGGACTCTCGGTTGCTTTTTACAGATTCAGACTAACACGGCTACCCCTCTGATACTTAATTTTATTATTTCTGCAGCACCACATGACGCTTTTCAGACCAGTTCAAAGGGCCCTGCTACAAGGAGCTTACATTATAAATTAGATATAATACAGGCAAAGGAGAGGTTTAAGGGTTACAGTAGAGAATGAACCTAATTGATTATTTGGTGTGCTTGGAACAAATGAGTTATTTTTATTGCTACATGTAATTAGGTTAGGAAAGATTAGACTTTTATCGATAAATGTCAGTAGATGTCAATTTTCTCCATACACACACAAACCAAGGAAAAATATTTCTATTAATGATGATCAAAATGTACAGATAATCAAAATAAGAAAAATGCTTCTTGAAAACTTTTAATATTAGTTTGACATAAGGGGTATTTACTTTGTAAAGTGGACAGTTTGTGTTTTAACCTTATAAAGCTTTAATTATTTGAATCTGTCCCCACTGTCATAAATAATTGTCTAACCCTCCTATTGTCTGATCCCTGCCTACTTTACACTGTGAAAATTTAAATTAATAAAAATAAAAATGCTTAAAAATAAACATTGATGTTATCTGTCAACATTATACAAAAATAAAAACTGATTTTTGACAAGCCTATATATAATGCTATTGTTTAATGTGATCTATAATTTAGAAGTATTAGGTCAGCCACAAAAGTACAATATCTTTAAAAGGACATGGGATGAAAGTTTGTCAGACATCTTAACTCCTGAGTTGGAATGTCTGTCCCTGTGGCAGGAGTGTTCATGTTTACTCTGGGTTTTCATGGTCAGGTTTGTTTTGTTCCAGTTTGTTTCCGCAATTTACCAAAAAGCATTGTTAGTTGTACAGATGGTCTTCAGTGTTGAGATGAAGAGCCATTGAAATGCTTGCACATTAGCCATTGTTAAAACATTTGCACCTGGAGATAATTAAAATCCATATACATGGTACTGTGGCATTTTTATAGCATGGTGCCAGTATAAAAAGAAGTTTGAACTCTAAAGAGAGCCAAGGAAAAATAGGTTTATAGTAACCAGAAAAGATGAAATAAAGGACATTGAAATGTTGAGATAATGGGATTAAAATCAGCATTTAAGAAAGGGCTAAGTACTAAGGGAATGCAGCGAAAACTTCATGCAGAGGATAATTCATGTGTGGAATAGAAGCAGCAATTGGGAATGTATTTTAATAAATTGCTATCCATAGACTTGAATTTAAAAAATGGAGAACAAATAGAAGAGAGAAACCTGTGTGAAGCTGGAGTTGTGGCCACCTCCTATCAAAATCTGCGGCTATGTCTACACTGCCCTGCAGTTTGGACTTCGGAGGGGTGAATAGCAGCGTGCATCTAAGTGCTGTGCTGTACCTGCCCCATGCGGATGCTACAGGCGCAAACTAAAATGTTCCTAGTTTGCATTAATAATAGTCTTTGAAGAGGACTATGTTAACATGAACTAGGAACTCTTTAGTTTGCATCCTCGGTATCCATACAGGGTAGTTACAGTACAGCACTTTGGTTTGGAGTAGTATTCACACCCTTTTAGTCTGAACTGTGGGGCAGTGTAGACAAGCCCTAAGTGTGTGATACTTCAGTGACTAGGGTTGTGTGGAGAATGGTGACTAAGTGCAGCGAGCTGGAGATCAGGAAACATTTAGGTGGGGGTAAAGTTACCTCGTTTAGCATGGAGAAGTTTGGAGAGTTCATGTGGTCTCTGTGGATTTAGTTCAAAGGTACTCAGCAGCCCAGTAGCGGAGGGAAACTGATGCAACAGGGTAGAGATAACTGATGGGCTAGCCAGAGTGTGGAAAGAGGCTGAGGGTAGTTGAAGGTGGAGAACATAGTATTAAGAGGAGGAGGGGACAGAGACAGAAGGAGCTGTAGAGAAATTGGAGAGGTGGTGATGGATCATAATGTTTAGGTGTACGGTTGGGATAAGCACACAAATATTAGGGCTGAAAAAAGTCTCCTATGAAAAGGCTTTCCCATGAGTTTTCCAGTATTCCCTGCTTTTGGCCAGGTTGGTGGTAGTATTTCTGTATTTCCAATTCCTAGCTGAAGCTTGCAAGGGAAGAAGGTGGAAAATATAAAATAAATATATAAAATATATATTTTCAAACTTTAGATAGGGTATAGGTTGAGTATGCGGAATGAGCAAAGGTCCCAGCTGGCTTACTCATCTCTAATCATAATAGGGATTCCTGGAGGAAAAGCAAGAATTGAGATGAAATAAATCTGAGACTTTGAACTTTCCCAGCTGTGTTAAGCTCGGATGTGTGGGGATTTCTTTTAGCAGGAATCCTTATTCTGACAGTTTGAGAGCATGCTCTCCAAATGTTGTTTCACTAATTCCACATAAGTCTACAGGATAAATGGATTTGCAGTAAGCAGGGTCACAAAACAAATGCCATTTTTTGGATGCTACCTTGAAATTTTGAGTAGTTGCCTGAGGTTTTGTTCTTTTGAGTCAGGAACTCCTGTACTTGCTGAATGGAATAAGACTATTGGACATATTGTACTGATTCTCAGAAACCAGAAAGATATTGAGATTCCGTGGAGACCTGAGTTCAAATTTGCTCTGCATAGCGTCCTCCTTTCTAATCTAAACCGAATCTAGTTTTTGTTGGTTATATTATGGTGGTGCTTGGGGGCCCTAGGTAGGATTGTGCGCACTATACAAACGCTGGTAGAAACAGTATCTGCACTGAAGGCCTTATTACCTCAGAAGAGACTTAAAACTGAAGGAGAGGGAAAATATCAAAGTACATAAAGTTTTTATCTACTGTTAACCTTTCAACATATATTTTTTGCGCCTATCCGTAATAGATTGGCTGATTTCTTGTAGGCGTCATGGAGAGTGAGGGTAGCATTTTTTATGGATCAGTCCATGGAGGACATTCCCAGCATAGGGGATGTCATGGAAGAAGGCATGCAGATGTTTGAGGGATAATATGTCTAGATTCGTATATGGCAGTTGTCACTGTAGCATCTGGTTTATAGCTAGTATTGACCCCAGTCTCTTGTTTCCAAGGAATACAAAGTCCCAAGTTCTGTCTTCTACAGGTATTTTATAATAAGCCTATTGCTGTGATATGAGCATTAATGTATAGTAACTCCTCACTTAACATCGTCCTGGTTAACGTTGTTTCGTTGCTACGTTGCTGATCAATTAGGGAACATGCTCGTTTAAAGTTGCGCAATGCTCCCTTCTGACGTTGTTTGGCAGCCTCCTGCTTTGTCTACTGCTTGCAGGAAGAGCAGCCCGTTGCAGCTAGCTGGTGGGGGCTTGGAACCAGGGTGGACCAGCAGCCCCCTATAAGCTCCCCCGATCAGCTCCCCTAAGTTCCCTGTGCAGCAGCTGCCCAGCAGACTAGCAATTGCAGCTGTCCCTCCCCCCCACTGCCATGTGCTGCTCCTGCGAGCCTCTTGCTTGCTGTGCGGGGGTGGGCAGGGAGGGAAGAAGTGGGCTAATGTCAGGGTGTCCCCCTCCCCCCTGCTCCTGCACCCCGCTTACCCCATCTTACAACTAACAAAATCATCCAAAGCCCAAGATTTGGTGGTAATGGGGG